TGCAGTAGGACCCTGGGGCTGAAGCCCGGCTCCACACTTGGTAGCTCTTGTGACTTTGAGTAAGTTATCCTCTCGGAGCCTTTCCTCATTTGAAAATGGGAATAGTAATAGTGCCTACCTCATAGGGGCTTGTTAAGATTAATTGAAAAATGAGTGTAAAACCTCTAGCTTGGCGCCTGGGGGGTCAAAGGTGCTGAACAAGAGGGTGCACCCGGTCACCGAGGCATCCGATACTCAGCTCCTTGGCTTCCCGCCAGGTCCTTTGTTCTTGGCTAGATAGGGGCTGCAGAAATGAATCAAGAGAGGCCCCACCCTGACCTAAAGGGCCACAGGCAGCCCACGTTGGGGACAGCCAGTAGAAATGTCATTCCAGGAGCACAAAGCGCTGGGGGTTCGCAAGGAGGTGAGAGTATTTCTGGCAGATGAGCCCAGAAAACTGGGTGACTGAGGATATTCGGGGTGAGTCAGACACCCACCCACCTGGCCTGGAAGCCTGAGATTTCACCCATTATGACATGCATGGGCATGTGAGGCCACGGTATCCACCCACCCTGCCGATGGGGTGACAAATCACCCACCAACCTCCTGCTATGGGTTTGAACCCCAGGCCCAGAACAAACTTCTGGGAAGCCTGCCCCACCTTTCCCTCCCTCAATACCACCCAGGCTTCCATCCCACCTAACCCTGGGAAGGTGGGGTCCTCAACCGGCTTCCAAGCGTCCCCCTGTGGGGCTGCAGGGCAGGGGTCCAGTCTTGTTTGCCTGGTGTGTCTCCCTCAGCCCTAGTACCACACCTGGCCCACAGCAGATGCTGAACTCTCAGAACCGAACACGCATGGGATGAGTGGGTGAGTAAGTACAGTTGGGCGACGGTGTGAATGTGCAACAAAGCATTATACACAGAATCTCCTCCCAGGGGCCTGTTTCACCCCCAGCAGCCCCAGGGGCTGAGTAGGGCCTGAGTGTGTTCTGGGGTCCCCAAGGCTCTCACAGTTGCTCCCTACCCCACTCGCTCAGTTCAAGGCAGAGAGACAGGGCCCAGTAGGAGAATGGAAGTGCCTGAGGCTGCTGACAGGAGGAAGGTGTGAGCTAAAATGCCTTTCTCCCTCTTTCCCTCTCCCTCTCTCTTTGTGTGTGTGTGTGTGTGAGAGAGAGAGAGAGAGAGAGAGAGAGAGAGAGAGAGAGAGAGAGAGAATGCAGGGAACAAACACACAGTATTCTAGTTCAAGTGTCAATTGAATAAACTTGCTATGGGCTGGTGTAGGCAGCTGTCCCTGGAAACCAAACCACCCTGTTCAACTCACTTTCAGATTTGTGGATGCTCTGGTGACTGACAGCCGAAACTCAAATAGAAACACCTGGGCTAAGGGGCCCTTGGCTCTGGGATGGAGACAGACCAAACTACAGAGGCGCATTCATTTTCAGCACCTCCTCCCTCCTCTACATCCCTGCCTGAGCTCACCCCAGGTCCCCCACTTTATGCCATCTCAGCGTGCAGACTGGTCCCCAGGCAGGTGTGACTCCTACGCCACCACCCCAGCTTCCTCTCCAACCTATCAGCACTTCCTCTCATCTGCCATTATAATGGAAAGAGCTTGATAAGCTCCCGGGTCAGGACGCTGGACACAGCAGGGAGCCGGCTTCCCTTCCCCCTCCCAGAGACATTCGCATCTTCTCCGGAACGACGCCCCAAACCTTTTGAATAAAATCAGACAAGACTGGGTTTGATTCCCAGCAGAGCTATAGCGAGATGACCTTGAACAAGTTAATCAGCTTCTGGAAACCATCAGTTGAAGGAGAAAAGTCACACCCACTTCCCGTGCCTATTGTAATACTTAATAGGACAGCTATCCCAGCACGTGGCCGGCAGAGGTGAGTGCTTGAATTTAAGTCTCCGTTTCCTCTCGTTCCCTCCTCTTCATCCCAAAGGAATTATTTTCTAATGATAAAGTTTTGGAATCACTGGCTGGCCATCCCGCTTGGCTCCTTCGAGAGCCCCCCACCCCCAGGGCCTCGGTTAAGGATGAGTGGACATAACCTTGCCGCCCCTCCCCAGGATACTTACAATTTCCTCACCGACAGCGTGGCCTTGGTCCACGGGGAGGGGGCACGCCCAGGGCTCCACTCACAAAACACGTTGCTGACCGGGCTCTTCCGGAAGCAGGACAGCTGAGGCTCCTCTGGAGGAACTGAAAGGCCAGCGCCCAGGCATGAGGGGAGCTCCCCTCACCTCCCTTCTCGGGGGGAGCACCTGGCTCAGCCCTCTCCCTCCCCACCCCCAGCTCTGGGGCAGCTGTGACCCAGGACACCATGGCCAGGCAGCCAGGCACACAACTGTGGCTGGGAAATTAAAGGACCTCACTACCGTAAAGGGAGGCACCCAGGGCTAACTAACTTGTCTAAAGGGAAGAGAGATCGATCAAAAAAAATTGAGGCTTTGGAGTCACACAGGTCTGCTGTGTGGCCTTGGGCAAGTCCCAGCCTCTTTTCAGTTTCCTACTATAAAATTAAATGATGATAAATAATAATAATAATAATAATAATAATAATAATAATACTGCTTTCCCTCACAGGGTCACTAGGAGGGACACCAAGGAAGAAAGTGCCTCAGCACAGGGCCTGGCACACAGGGCATCAGCTCTATGATGTATTTATCTAGATGTGAGGGAGCTAAGAACCTGCTAATTCTAAAAATAGAAATAGTTCATTTGAGACTATGCAGTGTTCAAACATCATACGTACACACACACTCATTTAATCTTCGCACTAACTCTGAGGTAAGGTAATAAAATTAACTTATTTTACCAAAGAGGAGACCGAGGAGCAGAGAAGTTAAGCTGTGAAAGAAAAGAATTCAAGCCCAGGCCACCTTGCTCCCAGCCCCGTGCTGTTAACCAGCCCCCCTCAAGCCCTAACTGTACCACAAAGCCAGCTGGACTGTGCCCCCATCAGCCAGTTGCCCCCCCCCCCAGCAGGAATTTCCAAGTGGACCTTTTCCCAAAACCCATGGGCCAAGGAAATAATAGGAGTTTAAAGGGTCAGGCAGGGAATCTGGAATGCACAGAGCTGCTGTGCAGGGAGCTGGCTCCAAGAGCTCTGAGGGCATAACTCACCATCCACCAACAGGAGCACAGTTCCAACTGGGTGGCCAGCCTGGTAGCACGAATAGTTTCCAGAGTCACTGAGTTGCACGGATCTCAGAAGCAGCCTCCTTCCCAAGCCAGCCCATCTGTCGTGGTTCGGGCCTGTGACATGATTCCTGAGCACCCAGTGAACTGTGGCATTGTCTCCCAGTTCCCCACCTGGACAGGTCAGGATCACGCTGGCCCCAGGCCTGCTGGTCAGCACATCGCTCTCCACCTCTGGGGAAAGAGAAGACACTCAGTCAGTCCACAGCAACCTGAGGAAGGGACTTCATTTCTGATTTGGGGAAGCCTCAAGAGGCTTTAGTACTAAACATCTGCCAAGTTCACCCGGTGATCCAGGCCTCTCTGCCCAGATTACAGGCAGAGCCTCCAAGTGGCCAAGGACCATGTATGGCTCATCCTTTCACTGGCCCTTTTCACATGGCACTGCCCTGGACTATATAAAGCTCCCCATCCCCAACCATAACTACAAGACTGTGAGCTCCTGCTAGCACTCATCAGAGTTCAGTGGGTGCTTAATAAGTGTTTGTTTAATGTAGGGTACCTAAATGGTGTCCACAGGGACAGGGTCTCCACATCGAAAACTCCCAGGAGCAACAGTCACAGTTGACGCAGTGGTCTAAGAGGTGCCCCTCCGGTAATACAATGGACAGGACCTATACTGAGACCAGAGCATCCAGCTTGTCCCAACCAGGAGATGCTGGGGAGAGAACTCCCTCTGGTTATGAGTCCAGAGCCCAAAGGAGCTCTCTTTTCTGCTTCTGCTTTTGCCAGTTCCAGGAAATATGTTTCTCTGGTCACTTCCCTTAGCCGAGTTCAGATGGAAGCTCTTGCCGTGTTTAGTGACCGGCCTGAACAATAGCAGGGGCTGTTCTGTTCCTGCACTCACTAACAATGGCCAAACTATTTGGGCAACTCAGAGAAATAGCAAATAAAAAGACTATTTTTCTCTTCCACAAAAGCAGAGCTGCGGGAGAAACATAATGGCCACTTCCTCTGCCAAGGAACTTGAGTAATGGCTTTCTTTAAAACTGAGTCACTTTTTTTTTTAATGGGGATGATTAATTATAAACCAGCCATTGGCAAGTGTTGCCTGTCCCGGCCCTTCTTCCTAATATGCTTCTCCTAGAGCCTGAACAGCTCTGTGTTAACTATGCATTTTACAGGCTGATCACAAATACTCAGAGGAACGACCACAAGAGAAGGAACTTGCTAAAGTGACAGTGGGCAGTGCTGCCCCTCCCACCCACCTACTCAGCCCTCTGCCCCCTGACCGGAATCTCTGAGTCAGACCCCCGACGCCGGTAGCCCCGTGGGAGCCCCCTGCATTTCTGTGAGGGGGGAGAGGTGATGTTCACAGAACGCCCTTCTGGTGTCTCCGCCCACCTCTCCAGATGATGAGATTGGAGGGATCTTTCTCTTCATCTTTCTGTAAGTTTTTAATTTTCTATAAGTTGCTTGTATCACTCTTAAAATGAAAAGTGTGTGTGGGGGGGTGTAAAACAAAAAAGTTACATAGCAAGGTCTGCCCAAGTTACTCCATCTAGGGTGGAGGGTGGAGGGTGGAAGGTGGAGGGGCGAAGGTGGGGCAGGCACAATGGGTGCCAGGGAATAGGGGTGGAGTGAGGGTGGATTTTTTAGGACAAGCAGCTTCTGAGAGTACCTTCCAGGCCAGAAAGTGGTCACCCCCAGACCCTTGCAGCTCTGTGTTCTGTTTCCTCTCTCTGCACTCTACACCCTTAGCTCTCAGCTCTGCTGGCCTGATCCCCTGGTGGACATAAGGTCACCATTCCTCCCCATCTGCCGCTGTTTGTTCCCTGGAATCTGCCAGAGCCCTCCCAAAATAGACCCTACTAACAGAGAAGACACACAGGCGGAAACAGGTGAGGAGAGTGCTCCTGAGAGCACCCCTTCCTGCTCTTCACAGATGTGCCCCAGTCGTGCTCACACTCCTACCCTGGGAATACGGGTGTGGCAGGGAGTGGCTGGCCCTGCACACCCTAACATTTAGCAAAGAGCACACAATTTAGCATCTGTGCTTGAGCAGTTGCTCAGCCATTTAAGGCCAGGGTTGCAAGCCTGTGCCTGTCTCCTCAAGAACTCTATGTACATCGATCATGTGCAAAGCCAGAAATTCCTCATCCAGGAGAGAGAACTGTTACTGAACATCTACTATGCACTGACACACCTCTACACTATTTCCACATCATAATCTTGTTTAACCCCCACAAAGCTCCATGGAGAACTTAAAACTACCTATAATACAGGCCACCCTGAGATAAATGTTCCCAACATATTGAGGGAGTCATGAGGGTGAAATCATTCAAAAGGGGTGGAGGAGGGAGGAAGCCATCAGGATCCAAGGGAAGAGAGATTTGAGTTGGGCCTTCAGAATGAGCAGGAGTTTGATAAATGGAGCCACAGGGAATCGCATTCTATGAAAAGGGAACAGTAGGCAAAGAGAAGCGAGAACCCCAGGGAGGGCAGGCACCTGGAGAATATTCTCCACCAGTGTATGGTCTTGTCTTGACTTATTTTTTAATATAAGTACATCTCTAAGAGCGGGAGGCAGATTGGCAGAGAGGAAACAGCTCTGTTATCAGAAGACCCAAGTTCTATTCCTGATCTTTTTTTTAAATCCTCACTCGAGGATATTTTTCCATTGATTGTCAGAGCGTGGAAGGGGGAGAGAAAGAGAGAGAGAGAGAAACATCACTGTGAGAGAGACACATGGATTGGTTGCCTCCCGTACTTGCCCCGACTGGGGCTGGGGATCAAACTTGCAACCCAGGTACATGCCCCTGACCGGGAATCAAACCCGAGACCCTTCAGTGCTCCGGCCATCACTCCAACTACTGAGCCATGCTGGCCAGGACTCTATTCTTGGTCTTGTCAATGACTTGGGCAGCCCTGGGCAAGTCACAGCCCCTGGCACAGCCCCATTCACCTCCGTAAGACTGTAATTCGAAGCTCCCTGCTGTCCCCATTCCTGCAGTCTAGTGTCTTACCACACAAATCATTAGCTCTCAGAGGACAGGAAGCATGTTTATCTCTGTTTATCTCAGACAACAGCCCTGCCTGAAAACACATAGTCTATGGATTTACTATTCTAATAGTTGATGACTTTTGGAGAGGAATGACAGCCAGGTCACCCCAGTGCCCTCAGACAGATGCTTCTCCTATCCCTGGAGAGCTCTGGGAGAAGTTCCCACAACCTCCCTCGCCTCCCATTCTTTAAGGGGAAGAGAGTTTAGGTCCTCCTCACCCCTGGCAACCTATCCCACACCCCAGTCTGATGCCCACATAATCCCACTCCCTGGGGCACTGGGCCCCCACCACTGTGACACCTCTGAAGCGTGGACTTTGCAGCCTGGCCTAGGAGTGCGGTTCCTCCCATTCTGGACCTAAGTAAGGTTGGGTGCCAAAAACCCAAGCAGCTTTGTTGTTTTTCTACTTTTTCCCTCCTCAAGTAAATGTCAATAACCAGAGAAAAACACTCAGAGAGACATATTTCTCAACTCTCTCACAGCTTGTTGTTGCTCCTGCCAGCAAAAACAAGTTCAGCTCCCCAGCCCAATTATGTAAGCAGCGAACCAGCTGCTTCACTGCCCAGCGCACCACTGGGGACACAGGCTTATCACACGCCTGCTAATCCCACTGCCCTGGTTTCTGAGCAGAGATGCTGGTCGCTGGCTGGCTGGGCAGCCGGCAGCACAGCAGGCCTCCAGCCTCGCAGGTTGCAGGGACACAGGATTGCAGAAGAGGTCATAAGGAATTAAAGGTCCCCTCTCAGTGATAAAGGAGGCGGCTGTTGAGAAGTCTCCAGGAAACGAATGCAGAATTCGGTCCTACAGGGCCTCGGACAAGTTCCCAGTGTTCATCTCCTCTCCCTGCCTTCTCCATCTAAGGGCTGAAACCAGCCTCCTTGCTTTTGATGCAATCAATGATCATCATAACGACCATTACCACTCATTAACACTTATTACCACGTGCCCATGCTTTACCCAAGAGCTCTCCGCCCCTTACAAAAACCCTGCTTAGGGAGACTTGGCCCCTAAGTTGTTGAGTCAAGGAAGTTTCAAAAAAGTTAAGGAACTTACCCACATTCACACACCTAATGAGGGAGTCTGCATGGGCTTCAGGTGAGTCTGGCCCAAGCCTCTCTCTCTCTGGGGGCCAGGTGTCACTCTATGCTCCACCTTCGGGTCACCCTTTCGGGGCTGCCCACCACCCTTTATCTCTCCCCTCCTCCCAATTTCCTTTCCTCTGCCCTGCTCTTCTCTCACCTGTCCATTCTCCACAAAGGCCTGGGGAAGGGAGTCTGGGTTGAGGAGTGTGTGCAAAGGGGTGGGGAGGGAGTGGGGAGTGGGGGAGGTGAACCCTGCCAATCAAGTAAGTACCTCGGAGGGTCTCTTACTGGGAGCCCGAGAGCCTAACACTCTTGACCTCTCTCCCCCTCTTCTACAGCAGCAGCACTCAAGTGATTAGTTATAGTTCCAAAGTGCCCCCCACCTCTGACTCTCACCAGGTCACTCGTTCACTTCCCCCCAAGTCCCCAGAATGCCCTCCTCTGCCTTTAGGGAGAGGCCAGCCCTCAGGGCCTAGGCCATGGCCCCAGCCAAGTTCAATAACTCAGCTCCCAGCCCGGCTTCTCAGATTGCCTGCTCCCGTGGCAGCCCCCGCCCCTCTCCCGCTAACGTGTTTGTACTTCTGTACCTGCTTGTATTTGCCCTGTATCTGGTGGTGTCAGTATTTACCTTGGCACCAGGGCCTGTATAAGACTTGGAGACAGGGTGCCTTGGAGGCTCTTTTGGACTCATAAAAAGGTAAGGCTGGCTGCTGACGCAGAGACCAGTGTGTGACCAGCTCCTCAAGAGAAAAACATTTAATCCTTCTGGGGCAACAACATCGAAGATAATCAGCTGGCCCCAGCCCAGAAGGTCTGGCCTGGATCACCTCTCAGAGATTATAAACTAATTAGAGGAAAAGATATCTAAGGAGGGCAAACAGTCCAACTCCCCCACCCCTGCCAAGCCCCGGGAAGCACAGCGAGAAATGAAGACATTAAGGCAGGGCTGAGCAGGGCCTGAAGAAGAGCGCAAAAGCCCTGGCCGGGTGGGTCAGTTGGCGGGAGCATTGTCCTGTGCACCAGAAGGTTGGGGGTCCGTCAGGGCACACACCTAGGTTTCAGGTTTGATCCCCAGTCACGGCGGGTACAAGAGGCAACTGATCGATGTTTCTCACACCGGTTTCTCTCTCTCTCCCCCTCCCCACTTCCTCTCTTTCTAAAATCAATAAAAATAAAGACAAAGGGCACAGATGCCGACACACGGACACACACAGGACTGGGGTCCAAAGAGGGGCTGAGTTGGGGCTGAAGTCACAGAGTGAGTGCTGAGCTAAGAAAGGGTCACTCTTCTAAGATTGTAAGGGGCCTTAAGAATGATTAAAGGCCCTGGCTGGGTGGCCCAGTTGGTGAGGGCATCATCCAGATATGTCAAGGTTGTGGGTTCAGTCCCTGGTCAGATCACACAAAAGAATCAACCAATGAATGCATATATAAGTGAAACAACAAATTGCTCTTTCTCTCTCTCCCCCCCCTCTAAAAATCAGTCAATCAATAAAATATATAAAGTCCTTTAAAAAAAAAAAAGAATGATTCAGGTCAACCTGACCTTTTTCTTTTTTTTAATCCTCACCTGAGGATATTTTTCCCATTGTTTTTCAGAGAGAGTGGAAGGGGGAGAGAGAGATAAAGAGAAACATCAATGTGAGAGAGAGACAGCGGGGCCGGGAATCAAGCCTGCGACCGAGGTACGTGCCCTTGACCAGAATCGAACAGGAGACCCTTCAGCCCACGGGCTGACACTAACCTCTGAGCCAAACCGGCCAGGGCCAACCTGCCCATTTTTATAGGTGAGGAGGACAGGGCCCAGTCATGCAGTTAGTGTGTCATGTAGCCATGGGATGCAGTCTTGTTTGCCCATGGCCCACGACCTTCCCAGGAGAAGGGCAGAAAGGGACCTGTCTTCCCATCTCTGAATTTAGCCTCGGAGTCTAACCAGAAGCCTGACCCACATCAGGGCTTTTTATGTTTGTGGAGGGGGGGTTGGCAAGGGGGAGCGGCAAGAAGGAACCTGATCTATGACCCCCATCCCATCCCAAACCACATCCCATCTCTCCCACTCCTTTAGATATGAAGAAACAAAGCTAAAGACTTAAGTCACAAAGTGAGATGTGGGAGGGAGTGACTAGAGGAGAACACAAAGGGATGCACCGGGCTGGTCACGTTCTGTCCTTTATCTGAGTGGCGATTACATGGCTATGCTCAGTCCGTAACAACTCGTCAAGCTGTCCGAATTAATGTGAGTGCGCTCTTCTCTGTGTACGTTACACTGCAATACTTGCTTTTACAAAGGACCTAAAGTACCCCCTCCTGCATTCTCGCAACTGCCTGAGCTCAAGCCTATGGCCCGGGGCCACCCCCATGTGCAGTAAGCTTCACCTCGAAGGAAACAGTTCAGAATGGAAGAGCAGGCCCAGCTGCCCTCAGTGAAGCTGTGAACCCCAGATTCCCGCTTTCCTGCAGGTTTATATACGCTTTAAAGATCGGTAGTGCTAACTCCCCTCTCATTCCTCTGCTTTTTCAGAGTTGTCCTTGCTATCCTTGTTTATTTACTTTTCTATATGAACTTTAGACTAAAAGAGTCCTATTGGGCCCTGACCAGTGTGGCTCAGTGGTTGGAGCGTCGGCCCGAGCACCAAAGGGCCACACGTTCGATTTCCAGTCAAGGACACGTAATACAATCCCTGGCCCCGGTCAGGGCCCGTGCAGGAGGCAACCAGTTGATGTTTCTCTCTCACATGGGTGTTTCTCGCTCTCTCTTCCCCATCTCCCTTCCTTTCTCTCTAAAATCAATAAAAATATTTTTAATCCCTTTTCTTGCCCTGGCCGGTGTGGCTCAATGGTTGGAGCATCAGCCCAGGCACCAAAGGGTGCAGGTTCAATCCCCGGCCAGTTGGGGTGCATGAGGGAGGCAACCAACCAATGTGTCTCTCTCACATCCCTCTCCCTTCTCCCACTCTCTCTGAAAATCAATGGAAAAAATATCCTCGGGTGAGCATCAACAACAACAAAAATCCCTTTTCGTGGCCCCACTTCTCCAGCCAGGTCCCAGTGGTCCGCTTGCCTGGCCTCTCAGCAGAGTCAGACATCATTGCTTGCTCTCTCCTCTTTTTATTTTATTTTTTATTTTTTTTTGTTTTTTAGAGAAAGAGAGGGATCAATTGGTTGCCTCCCATATGCACCCAAAAAGGGAACTGAACCCGAAACCTGGGCATGTGCCCTGACAGGGAATCGAACGGGCGGCCTTTCAGGTGCATGGAACAATGCTCAGCCAACTGAGCCACAGCAGCCAGGGCACTCCCTCCTCCTCTGATCCACTGTCCTCACTGGGTTTCCAGGACAACTCTCCCGATTTTCCTCACAACACTGATCTCACCTTCTCAGTCTGCTCCTCCTCTTGCAGCCTGAGCAGGTTGCGGTGCCCAGGGCTCAGCCCCAGGGGCCTCTTCAGCCTCCATCCACACTCTTGCCCGAGATGATCTCAGCCACTCTCAAGGCTTGAAATCCTACCGGCCACCAGTGACTCCCAAATTCATACCTCAAGCTCAGTCCTCATTCCCAAACTCCAGACTCCTGTATCCAACTCCTCAGCATCTCTCCTGGATTTCTAAGACACCTCAGTTGCAACAGGTACAAAACTGACCTCTGGTCTTTCCCTCGAACAAAACCTGCAGCCTCCCCCATGTATGCAAAGGCTCTAACACCCCTATCACATAAGGCTGCTGTGAAGAGTGAATGGGTCACGGATGCAGAGTCTAGCACAGTTCCATGCATACAGCTGGCATTCAATATGGTAGCAGATATTGTCACCATCTTGTAGAGAAGGAAGACCAAAGGATGCTTTTCGGGAAAGGAAGTTGGGAAGTGCAGGGGAACTGAGAGCAGGTGCCAGCAGACAGCCTGGATGAGAGCCTCCGGGGCACACTCCTAAGGGTAGAGCCACTGGGCTGAGCTGGCAAGGGCAGGTGGGAGCAGGGGAGCCTGCGGAGGTGCAGCTGCAAGTCAAGACTGAACCCAGGACCGCGCAGGAAAAGCCCCTGACTCTGCCAGAGACTTGGGACCTCTTTGGATCTCAAGGGCCAGAGAGTAAAACACACAGATTAACTACCCAAAAGAAATTCCCAGGCTTCACCAGACAGTTAAAAGCCTTTCTTTGCCACCTTCCCCTTGCCACTCCAGCCCTCAAGGATTCTCTCCAAAGACTGGTATCTCAATGACAGTTAATGACCCAACATTTAGCACTTCCCTATCCAGCTGGAGTTCAAGGGACCCAATAGCTGAGGCCTGGTCTCCTCAGAGACAACCGTAAGCTTCACCAGGGCAGGGGCACCCATGCCCCATGGAGCCCTCTGCTCTGGAACCTAACAGCCCCTCAGGTGGTACCAGGTTGTTACAGAGGAGGCAGAAATTTTCCTGCCCAAGATGGGAGTAACTCCCTGGCCAGTTTGGGTAAGTGGTTAGAGTGTCAGCCCAGGGACTGAAGGGTCCCAGGTTCAGTTCCAACCAAGGGCAAATACCTCGGTTGCAGGCTCCATTCTGGCCCAGTCAGGGTGTGTGAGGGAGGCAACCAATCAATGCGTGTCTCTCACATTGATGTTTCTCTCCCTCCCTCCCTTCCTCCCTCCCTCCCTCCCTCCCTTCCTTCCTTCCTTCCTTCCTTCCTTCCTTC